TGCCGCGTCGCTGAGCTCGCACTTGGAGAAGGCGCGCGTCGACTCGCTCCACTACCTAAAGGCCCACGAAGCGCGGTGCCTCGCCGAGTGCAACAAGTCGATCGAGGTCGCCAAGCGCGTGGCCGAGGCCAAGACGAAAAGCAGGTCGACGATGCCGTTGCGGCGCTCCGCACGCAACGAACGCCGCGATGCAGCGCCTCGTCGAGGAAAACGCCGACGAGATCGAGTTTCTCAACCAGCAGCTCGCGCTCTGGAAGCATCAAGTCGAGGTGCTCACCGAGTCGGACCGCCGTGAACACGCCGCCGCATCGTCCAAGCAACCTAAAAAGAAGGCCCTCGAGGTACTCCATTCTCCAACGACGTGCACGAATGCCAATAGGATGTGTAGATCCCAGAAGACACGTTGTTGCGGGAGATGGAGCAGCTGCATGCGCAAGACCGTCGCGCAGGGTCGCGCGTCCGGTCGGCCTCCAATGCAGACACAAACAACAACAGCAGCAGCAGCAATAGCTCGATTACCAAGGGCGGCAACAGTGCCAGTGCGGCAGTACCCAAGCCCTCGGTGTGGGACCGCGTCCTCGACTCGATGATTGGCGACTGAGTCATGTCGCTTTGATTTATTCACTTATCTAATATACCCTAACCACAATAACTTTCGGTTGGGCTCTCTCATCCACGACGGCATTGGCAGATACAAGAGAGGGTCTCATGACAATATTGTCGTCGAAAATACAGTCTTTTAGACAATAAGTCCATCCACGACGAAGCTCGTTTACTGACTGCAGAGCCGACGACTACCGACTGTTTCGATTGACGCAACGTTGGCGGGTCCGCTGCCCAGAGCGCGACCACTGTCTACCGCCTCGTCCATGGAGCGGCTACTGTACTAGGACAAGTGGCCGAGTCACGAATGGCGCCGCAGCCGGCATGCTCGCTCGAAGAACGCTGCTACCGGTCGTGCGTTAAAGGTATCGCATTATATAGAGAAGAGCGTCGAGTGAGATGGGGTTGATAAACCCGCTGTAGAAGCTGAAGGGTACGAGGGGCCTTCAAGACGCGTGGAGTTGTGCGTTCGCGCCTGGCGTGTCCTCATCCCTGACGTCGTACGAGTCTTTAGTGTTTCGACGTCAATGAACGCTGGCTTCGTGGCTCGAATCTCAATGAAGTAGCTGGTCGAACGAAGTCGTCGTTGGATGTGCGAGTCATCGGCTTCATGAGACAAAATATCACGAGAGGCTGAGGCTGCGAACACGCGCTCGACCGGCGACGGGTACCGAGCCTGAAACCGTGTCGGTCAACACGACAACGGCTGCGACGAAATGGGCTGGCGGCTGCTGCGCGCTCTCCTTGGCAGCACATTCGTTCTCGCACACCGCAGCACCGTGTACTACCGCGACAGCACCAACACCCACCTCGTGGCGCGCGATACGGACCAAACCAGCGTCGCGATCGGAGACGACCCGAGCTGGACAAAGCTGCTGGGCTTTACGGTGCACGAAGCCGGCGCGAGGTAATACCACGAGTTCCACGCGGTGACCCTAAACCCAGTACTTCGATGCAGACTCTACTGGTCGGACGGCAATGCGATCTGGCGCGCCAACCTCGACGGCAGTGACCGCCACGTAGCTCGGTCCTTCTGCGCGTGGGTTGCATTTGTGTCTGCGTAGATTTTCGTCGGCGCGATGGTGCACGTGACGTGGACAGGCGCCAACTTTGGATTTGGCATCCACGACGTTGCGCTGCGCGTCGAAGGTGTGCCGTGCGTCCGCATCACGGCATGGTCGCGCACCCAACTGACGTGCGTCATGGCGCGCCCAGCGTGGACCCTGGCGTCGACAACGAGCCTCGATCTTAGTGCTATAAGCATGACCACGTCCGCGGGCACGACTAATGGTGCGTGCCACCGCCAGCACGACGCGAATGTAGGGATGCTTAGGCGTCCAGGCCAACTACGACAGCCTCGTCTTGACGCCGGGCCTGGCCATGCCCCTCGTGCAGTCCATTGCAACGCGCGTGACGCTCCTCAACCCGCACACGCTCGCCATCGACCACTATGATCCAAGCGCCCACTGGCTCGTCTTCTCGGACGACGCCAACGGCCGCGTCTACCGCGTCGACGTCCACACGTACGCCATGCAAGACCTGCTAACCTCGGTACGCCGGTGGTATATCCTCCTCTTCCAACTGCCGCAACATCGCCAGGTGTGGGCGGTGCATGGCCTTGCTGTCGTCGGACCGTCCGTGTATTTTTCCGCCGAAGCCAACGGAACCATCGCGCGGCTCGACACGACGTCGGGCGCCGTGACGCCGGTTGTGTCGGGGCTAGCGTCGCCGCGCGGGCTCTGTGTCGACGTTATGAACGTACGACTCCTACGTCGCCCAACAGCACGACCATCTGATGCTACTAGACGACGCTGTATGTGGCCGCGAAAGGCGGTACGATATGGGCCGTCGCCAGCAGTGGCTTGCCCGTGCATGGTCCGTCGCGCTCGGCGCCAACCGTCGCGAGGCGCCTTCTGGCCGTGAGCTCGCTCGCGCGCCTCAATGGCATCGCGTTGAGCCATGATGGGTACGGTCGGAAGATCGACACACTTGAATATACAATGCGCGATAGCAGGCGCCTCTACTGGAGCGAGGCCAACACGAACGTCGTCGCGCGCACGTCGCTTGTGCAGCTGCGCCGCGAAGTGCTCTTCGGTGGCACACCGCAGTCGGTGCTCAGGTGAGAACGCCGAGTGCGCGTGATAATAACGCTAGATGGAATGTCTGGTAGCTGGCCCCGCCATGTGTACGCTCTGGCCTCGGGCGCCGGCGTGTACTGTACGGAGTACGCCGGTCGCATCCGCCTGCTGGCGCTACCCGGCGCAGCGCCCACTACCGTCGTCAACGCCGCCATGGCGACAACTTCGATAGGGCAACTCGACGGCGCCGTTGCAGCCCGTCCACCGTCGGCGCCGCTGCCGTTCTATGCGCTCGAGTGACCACGGATGTGACCGTCGTCCCGCCGCCTGTCTGCCAAGATCGCCGAAGTCTGATATGGCCGCCGCACCATTCCCTAAATCGTCTCAATTCACGTCATAGTGACCATCATCCTGCAGCGCACGCAAATACTGTATGTTAGCGGTCGACCGTGCCATCTTCATGTCCGATTGCACTTGCCGACGCGGGGCCAACGACATCGATGTTGCTGGCTGTATACATGAGGTACACAATGGCTATAACGAGTGCGCTGGGCTTGCGTTCACATTGATGGCGCAACGGCAACCCCTTTTGATCGTACACTATTTCAGTACCAACTTGGTCCTGGCAAGCCGTTGACGTATAAAGGTTGCTACCGACGTCCACGTACTACGATCTCTACGACGCTAATCGTGTGTGCTATGGGCTTCGTTTTGGCAATATATGCGTGTGTGGTGCCAGCTTGTGGGGGTAGGAGGGCTAGCCGCAAGGGAGGAGCCCCGGGGCGGCCTAGAGAGACGCTTTGGAGAATGTGGCTGCTTCAATTGACCGTCGGCGGCCGCAACGTCCAGTTCTAGAATTTATCAAATAGTGTTTCGCTTGCAGGCCGTTCCCCCAACACTATTTCCAGGTTACGAGGTCGCATACAAACCTAATGTTTATTCTAGAACATTATTCCGTGGTGGGATTGACCTTAAATAGACTTAGACATACTATTTGCGAGCGATGGTAAAACGGACTCATTTTGGCCAATCACAACGCTCCATTCGGATCGGTCAGGTCGGTAGGGCTCGGGGTGCCAAACATCTCGGTGTTTGTATGGTGGTGCGATTGGCGGTTGGGGCACAAAAGCGCTCAGTTTCGAATTTGATTTCGTAATCACAAGCGCGTCGCTGGCTTAGTAATCACGCGCCGACCGCCTTGCCGTAATCTCAACGCGGTACGCCCTCGGCGTCATCATCTCGATGGCTCACGCGATCTCTCTCGAAGTAGTAGCTCCATGGATCCTTACCACAACTACGGCCACCCGAACCAGGGCCCGCCCGGCCACCCGGGCATGAACAACGGCGGCGGCCACCCGGGCATGAGCAACGGCGCTGGCCACCCGGGCATGCCCGGCCGCCCCATGGGCATGGGCCTCCCCGCGCTCAACCAGTCGGGCATGCCGATGATGTCCGACCTTGGCATGGGCTTTGACGGCTCGAGCTTCATGCAGCATGGCGGCTACATGGGCCAAGGCATGCCATCGATGGTGCCGCCGCCCATGAACGTTGCACTAACGCCCGTCTCGACGACGTCGAGCCAGTCGCCGATGCCAGCTGCGACCGGTGGCGCCAAGGCCAAGAAGGCGCCGGCCTCCAAGAAGCGCAAGGCGCCGCCGAGCGACACGCAGTCCAACCGGACGCGCCGACAGCCGTCGTCGGCGACTGGCACGGGCACCGCCGCCGACACGGAGGAGCAGCGCAAGGCGCGTCGCCGCGAGCAGATTGCCAAGGCCGCGCGCAAGCATCGCCAGCGTCAAAAGGACGAGCTCGTCGCGTTGCGCGAGAAGGTCAAGGACCTCAAGGAGCAAATCGAGGTGCTCCA